CAGGCTGATCATAACAATGGCTAAACGTGACCGAGGTATATCTCAGGGGTAATGCCGGTTGCAGAGGCGTGGCTGCGTTTCCCACCTGAGCGGCCGGGTGCTTTACCGTTCAATGTAAAGTCGTTTCTCAACTGCAGATTGAGAAGCAATGAGGAAGAAAAGCTCAGCTAAGTCAGACGAATCATTTTGGCACCTGCCCCTTACGCATTTTCATTACACATGATAATAATAATAATAATAATAATAATAATAATAATAATAATAATAATAATAATAATAATAATATGTGGGATTTACGTTCAAAGACCACGATATGGTAATGAGGTTACGCCGTTGTGGAGGGTTCCGGAAAGTTCGGCCATATGGTGCTCTTTATTAACGTGCACTGACACCGGACAGCGCACGGGCTTCTATTATTTCGCCTTCACTGAAGTGCGACCGCCGCGGCTGGAATCGAACCCGATACCTTCGGGTCGCAGCCGAGGACCGCAACCTCTGAACCACCGTGGCGACCATGACAAAAGGCAAAAAAAAAACAGAACGATAGTTGCGTAGATTTATTTTGTTCTAACTCAGTCTAGGCATCTTAATTTTTGAAATTTAACGTGATTCGTTTCACGTAAGAGGAAAACCTGTGACGTCGTTTCCTGCGTGTGCTTCCGCTGTCAGTCATCAACTGTGACGCGCTGTCGAAGCCGTCACAGGTGCGCAGCTGCAACGCTGTGTTAGGTATTGAGAAGTTAACTTACGTGCTTTCGCATGAATGGGGCAGCTTGCTGTCGCTGAATGGTCGCTCCGAGTTTTCTTTATTCTTTCTCGCTTTTCCCGTGCAGCTTCCAACAGCTGTCCGCAGTTTGCCTCGCATAACTCGTGAAACGAGCCTCGCTGAAACCGCGAGGAAGCCCTAGGCTCGTAGGCAGAAGGGACCTCCTTAATGGACCATTTTCACGGGCGCCATCTGCGCATGCGCACCGTGAAATGCTTGAACAGCGCCACCCCGAAACATTTTCGGTGGCTCGTGGCATCCGAAACCTGTCGGTGCACAATCTCGGAGGCAATTGGTGCAAAGGAACGCACAAGCTCCCACGCTGTCGCGTTGACTGGGAAAGCTGCCAAATTTGCTTTTGGCTCTCGCGAGTAATGGCGCTGTATACCTGTTGTGAAAGTGTCCTTGAAGTGGTCATTTTTTTGTCAGTGTACCATGGTAAACGAAATTTCGGGGGGGGGGGGGGGGGATACATGCCCAGACTGCCACCGCTTGACTACGCTTGGAAGCGCAACTGATGGAGTCAGGCGCGTAACTATAGGGAGTGGGGAGAAGTTGAGGGGGTTCTGACCCCCTCCTAAATTTTTTATGCTTTACATTTTCGGGTGGTACTAAGGCATTTACACGCCTTTACATTGGTTCAGTTGCCAAAATTATCCGTTCCACACACAAACACACCCGAACAAAATTCCTGGGTACGGGCCCAGATAGAGTGAAATGCTTTGCGTCGACGATCTTGAAATCGCATCCCATTTTTTTTTTTTGAAGAAGTGCTTTATGTACCGGGGGTGTCATACGCTGTTATTGTATCATGTAGTTGTCGTAACGCTGGCGAAGCCACGTATATATAACGTAGCCATTGGTTGCATATCGAGCACGCGCTAGCGCTGAGCAGTAGTCATCTTTCTCTCGTTCTTCCACTGCTTTGATGATGGCGATGTCGAAAGCAGAGCGATTGAAGTGCCCTTGGCGTAACACGGACGGAACCATGGCGTAAAACTAAAAGGAGAAAGGAGGAAGCACGCAAGAAATAAAAAAATATGAGGAAAATGGAAATGAAGATATAGAAACAAACAGAAAAGGCACAGAAGAAACTAGAAACAGAAAAAAAGAACGTAAGAGAAACAAGAAAGCAAGAGAAAATCGAAGAGGAACAAAGAAGGCTGCTGAGCTCTGTACTTCTTTCAGGCTTGCCTTATCTACAGTGTGCAAAGCTGCATTGATTTTTTTCTTTTTTCCTTTTTTTCTTTTTTTAAGTGCTCTATATGTGAAATAGCCGGTGTTCTGAGTGTGTCGAAGCCACCCCGTTTTCGCGCAAACAAACTTTCTAATAGATTGATATGTGGGTCTTAACGTCCCAAAACCACCATGTGATTATGAGAGACGCCCAGCTTATGAGAGAAACCCACCCAGCTAAAACTCTCTCTTATCGCCTCCTAGACAGGCGCGCATCCTTCTCCGCGGGCGTGCACACCTCCCTTCGTTTTCGAAGATAACTGCCAGATGGCGCTCGTGTCTAACGTGCCTCGATGCGCTCACTAGCCTTCGCTGCACGGATCAAGATCTCTATGCAGCGCTTCCAGAATACAATTCGCCAATTTTCTCGCGCAGAACATGAAATAAACGTTTTGTTTACTCTCTCCAGACGCAAGACTATCCGTCTTTCGACGACATTTGCAGTGAAACATGCAGATATCGGGCCATTTTCTCTCTCTCTTTCTTTCACGATTCCATGGCACATATGCACTGCTCCGAGCGAAATATCCGCGAAACGCCTCGTGATCTTGAAGGCATTTGTTCTGGCCATACCTATTGTCTTACAGCTAGACCCCTACCAAAACCGTATATACCTGAACGGCAGATGGAAGCACGGCAACGTGTTAAAGGGGGATTCGCTTGCGCGCCACCCGCGTTCGCGGAGTAAGAAGGCGTCGCTGTGTATCTTTCTTGCTTGTTTTTGTTTGGTGTGATCCGAAGCTTCGTGCTTACGTTAATGGTTGAGAGTCTTGGGGCATCAGCACTTTTCGAAATTAAAAAACAGGCATGCTATTGCGCTCGTTGGAGTATATTGATGACGCTATACTGAACATTTATCCAATAAGAAAACATAGGAAAACCGAACAAAGACGAGTATATGAAGAGATGCCTCGGGATTAGTGCATGGCTTAATAAATTGCAACGCGCACATTTTTCTGACAAGCGTTGCTAGTCCATTGGCTGACGTATTCCCATAATGCCTTTTTTTAAATTTCAAACGTGATGAAAAAATCACTTTATAAAAAAGGCTTCTAGCTGTGTAAATCTTTTTACTATTCATCGCGTGCGTTTGCCTCCGATGAAGTAAGAAAAAAAAACGCGTCCCATGTAAAGTTGCCATCCGTCATAGCCACCAATTTATCTGGAGCATCGTCCTAATGCAGACGTATGAAATGGACGGCGCGCTGTCGCAACTGCTTTCTGATGTCTCATTTCCTAAGGCGTAAAAAACAATCTCCGAGGTACGGGTGGAAGCGCCTCTTCCCTCCCGTAAAACGGAGGCAGTGACGTCACGAGCTGCGGGGTGTCCACGGTTATTGCCCTGCATGCCAGCGTACGTCCAAAAGTCTGGAGACCGAAAGGGTAGTAGAGTGGTATTGCAGCGCCGCGCCATCTTGCGATATATCGGCCTTCCGGAGGTGCAATGTATATAAGGACGAAATACGATGCCTTGGAGAGCGTCCACGGTATGCGTGTGGCATCCGGACGTTCGCGAATTTCGCGGCGTGAGGGGGACGTGGTCGTGGGGCCACGCGGAGGTTTATTAACAAGAAACGCCGGACCTGCAGCCGGGCTGCGGCGCCTCGTTATATTAGACCCGGGACTCATGATGCTCGATGTGTGCGCCCCCATTTGGGCGCTGTATGAACGGCGCAGCTGTCGCGGCGAAATTAAATCTGCACCGTGTGTTCCAAGGGGGCGACGTCCGGTTCAAAGGGGCTTGTTTGCACGTGCGTCGGGAGGTTCCGTTTCTGTTTTTTTTTTTACGTATAATAGAGCGCGTGGACGGCTCCATTTATAGGCATGTGGACGTGCATAGCAATGTCCTGCCGATATAGTCTCGTTCTTCGGCATGTCTCTTTGGTTACTGTTCAATGTCGCGAACGTGTGGGCACCGTGCACTGGTGAAAAGGTACTACGTAGCAACCGTTCATCGTGCAAGTGCTTTAATAAAATGATACGTCGTTAACCCTTTCTATATGCAAGACGAGCTGAGCTCGTCCACACCGAAACAAGCATTTGGGGTCGACGCAGTTAAGCAAGCCTGATTCATTTTGTCGATTTGTATTTAAATACAACAGGCCGTGCAGTTAAAAAATAACCTTAAAAACGGGCTCAAGTCATGCATTCTATTCGATAAAGGACTTGATTCATGTAACCGAAGCTGAAAAGTGGCACCCTGCTCTGTGTTCGAGTGGTGCGTGCGTTCCGGAAAAGCTCCGGAGATTCATGAAAGGTGAAGAAAAAAAGCCATTGTTTATCTAAGTTTCGTAACTGGAAGATCTTCAGTTTCCTTGCGAGTGACGACTTCACAAAGCAGCATATATATATATATATATATATATATATATATATATATATATGTATATATATATATATATATATATATATATATATATATATATATATATATATATATATATATATATATATATATATATATATATATATATATATATATATATATATATATCCATACTTTATAAGTCGTCAGATTCGGACGACGACTGCGTATCGACATATATAGGCATTGGACGCCCTTACGATTAGTGAACTCCCGGCACCGGCCGCATCTGAGTTATGTCTATATACGCTGACTTGCTCAACTGCGCTTTATTCCTAAAATTACAGAGAGGTGTTTTCTGCGCCGAAAACTAAAGAGTTAAGGCTTTTGTGTGTGTGTGTGTGCGTGCGTGCGTGCATTCCAGAACTCATTGGGTCAACTTTCAGTGGAGTCGCTCTTGCAGTCTTGAGTAACACTCGCCAACATAGTATACTTTCCGCCGCTACATGACCACGCGCTAAATAATCGAGTCCCAACGACTGAATAACGCGTTTAAGTTTGCCGAGTCAGTCCTTGCTATAGGAATATCGGTTGCAATTGGTTGGTTTGTTCGTTGCACAAACGTGTATACGGTAGTGATTCGCATCAACAGGTATCAGTGACTGACATTTTGAATCGTTATTTTTTTTTCAGTACCTGGAGAGGCGCTTTTGCTCGGCAGCTGTGAGGACGGTAGGGTCACTATCCTTCATAACAAATACGGTGAGTACGCTACACATGGATGCGTTCGTATACACATTGCCTTGAAATATACGAAGCAATACACTTATGACGCATCCGCCGCATTTCACTGCCGATAGCGATTTGTTTGTTAGTTTTTTTTTAGCGTGCTGTCTGTACATGCGTGGATCTGGGGTGGGAGGGGGGTGGGTGCATGATGTATTAACCCTCCTTCTAAAAGCCAAACTTGCTTGCTCAGTGCCGACTTACTGTTTTCGTCAAACTCATGTTACCTGCATTCCCAGTGGTCGGTTACCATAATGTTCCTTGAAACACCCTCTTTGACGCGAATCGAATTATTGTGATTATCAAACAATGATATCGATTGTAGGCGTCCATTGAACCGCCTTCAACAGTAACTGTAGGTACCACAAGTAGAGACGCGGGTCATTCCGGAGATAAAAACAGGATCCGTGCCTTTACATGTGCCTATACATACACGTCAAAATGAGCAAGTTTTACAAGAAAATCTGACTAGCCAGACGGCGGGAGTGTTTTTCGGATAACATCCGGAGTCTGTGTAACATAATATCAGGCATTGCAACGTCACAACGTGCAGAACTGCACGAGCTGAACTGTGTCGTAACATTGCGTCCCCTGGTTTATTTGTAGATCTACAACCGTTGTGACGTGCTCACATTTGGGTGCACGTTAAAGAACCCCAGGTGGTCTTAATTTCCGGAGCCCTCCACTACGGCGTCTCTCATAATCATATAGTGGTTTTGGGGCGTTAAACCCCACATATCAATCAATTAAAATGGCTTTATGAGGGGCCGGATTTCGCGAAACTTGCACCTGCGTCCTTTCTGCGTCGCGCAAAGGGCGCAAGTGCATGTTTCACGAAACGTCATCGTTGACGTCATAAACGGCAACGATGGCGTTTTGCGAAACTTGCACGTGTGCAGATTTTTCTCGGGATTCCGTACATCCGGTCACGTCATACGGCAACGAAGTGCGGTTCAAAATGGTGCTCGCATATACTGCCGGAGAAATGCTGAAAGCTTTATCTTTCCTGTAAAAGGTTCCGCTCCCACGTCTTTCGGAGGCCGTCGTCCTTCGGTGCGGCGAACAGCGACGCTTTTTGCCCATTCGGGTTGCACGGGCAACCCAGAGCAAATCACTGGTGCGGGTCTGTCCGCCGCTTCGCCACGGAGAGGGCTGCGCGCGGCGGTCACTAAAGGCACTAAGCGCTACGGGTGCTCCCAACAAAGACGCCACGCAAGCCCAGCTAATCATAGAGTTTCCCAAAATTAACTAGAGCGCACTATGGCGCTGCGATCGTTCAGCGACCATGGGAATGATGGGTAGTACACACACTTGCCTAGTCTTCGTACTTGCGGGCGGAGAATCGTACTTGCGGCTTCGTTTATTGCTGTGTTTCGGTTTTGTTTTGAAAGAAAAAAAAAACAAACCCTTGTCAACTTAGTGACTTCATTCGAAATGGTAAGCCTAAAATAATAAGGTTGCGAAGCGCAAACGGTGAACATTTCCTAATTTATGTTTCCATGAAAAAAACAGCTTCAAGCCACACGCACACACACGGAGCCAGAAGCAGGCCAGAAGTACGAAAATTAGACAAATGTGTGTACTACCCAACATTCCCGTGCTCGCTGAAGCGCCGTGTGTTGCAGCGCCCATAGACACTAGCGCCAGAGTTCCCTCTAGTGTACATTGAAAAACTCTATGCAGCTAACGTTGCTGTAGCACGTTGGATTAGAGAACGCGTTGGGCGCAGCCATACGCACCATACCGCCGCCATACACACTACGAAAATAGGGAGCCTTCAAATGCGCATAATAATCCGATAGCTTGCGGATACGTACGAAAAAGACGAAGAGAATCAAGCGCGGACTAACAACTAAATCTCATTTCGAAGGAACGTGTACGTCGTGTATTAATATGCAGAATCTCCCATGCGCTACTGCATACTGTCGAAAGCGTCCGTCGACCGTGATAACACGTAATAATTTACTCAAAGTTAAAAAAAAGCGTGCAAGGGATTTCACTCGCCGCAAGAATGATAACTCTTTTGTGGATACCGCTATAGAAGGTTTGGTAATCGCCCTTTTTTTTTTCCCCTTGAATTGCCGCAACTTCAATAATCAACCTTTTTTTTTTTCTCACATAACGTTTTAGCGATTACAGTAGTACCACCAAAGGTATGAGTGCAGCCACAGTCGGAGCAATGTTGCGCCGAAAAACCATCTCTACTTTTTTGCGTTTTTTTTTTTTTTGTGACGATCCTATAGCAGACGCACGATGAGACATCTTCCAGTTTGTCTCACGTATGCCGCTCCACGGTAAAGGGTATGCTGTATACCACGTGTTTAGCACACTCTGTGATTAGATTACTATCCTTAATTAATATTGCAGCCTTCATCCCTATTCACAGGACGAGTTCGCTTGCATAGCTTCGCCAGTTCATTGGGAGAGGAAAAAAAGAACCGTCCCCTTTGATTTCTCGTCGATATTCTTTTAAGCGGTGCATTATCTGATGCACGCAGTTGATGTACAGTATCTGATGCGCATGGGCAATTCTGCAAATTTACACCTGAATGTTCCGTTAAAATAAAATTTCGTGTTTAGTCAGCGCTAATATGTGCGCGCCGCCTCCGCTGGGGCGGCCCGCAAATAAAGGCTCCCTGTATGTAAAGGAGCAGCAGCGCCACCAGCTACCCTAGCGGCCGTCCAGAGCGTAAAGAGGCGCCGGGAAACCGGGCGCGCGCCGCCGGCTATGCCACAACATCTCTTCTAGTTCACTATAATTCCGCGTAAGAACCAAGCCTCTGTCTGAAAAAAAAAAAAAAAAAGAGTATAAGATAGATGTGACCGTAAGCACGAAAAGGGTGAAAGTGGGACGGGTACGACCTGATTGATCGCAGAGATGGTGGACAAGAAAAGAAGCTCGTTGACCGTTTTGTGTGTAGGGTTTGGCAACATTTGATGCCTGCAGCATTTTCAATAAATAAATGATCGTATCTTGTTGTTCTTGCAGCTATTATACATGGGAGTCGTTCTATACGGGCCCTCAGTCGCGTTAGAATCAGGTAAGTGTCTGCTCATATTCGTATGCTTCGTGTAATTATAAGTTTTAAATCCATACACATATAGAGGCAAAAAGCCCTACAGACTTTTTATAATCCAAAGTTGGTTGCTAAAGGGTCATTGCAAAGCTTTTTCAAAAGCATGATCAGAAAACGCTGCCGATCAGTAGTCGAAGCTTCCGAGAATACGTGAGCCATACAATATGGCGCTCTATGTGGCCTGGAATTCCACAATTAATTTTACGAGTCAGCTAGAGATCGCTCCTTCTTCTACAGGTGATGTCATAAACCTGAATGACCGCGCCATAAACGCAAAGTCCCGGGCCATTAATCTGATTTGGTTGATTGATTGAAAACTTTTTTCGACTAAATATTATGTGTTCTCGCTTGTTGGTTTCGGCATAATGGTATAAAAAAGAGTAAATAAAAAGTGAGAATCGTGATCTGCATACCGTGGCCACCGAGTGACCACGCGCGTGCTAGCGATCACGCAGGAAGTAAATCGTTCGTTAAAAAAGAAAAGCGAGAGAGAGAGGGAGAGAAAGAGAGAGAAAAGCAAGCGCTCAAGGCCATAACGCTTCCTGACGAACCAGACAGGCACTGCGCCGTGCTCCCTATACCGGGCTGCAAAAATTAGGTGCCTTTTTCCTCTTGTAACCACTACCACCACGAACAAACGCGTAAGCTTCTTGCCTCCTTGACATTTTCAGCTTTCTGTACGCACGCTTGCACGAAAGGAGCAAAAATGACTAATAAAGGGAAACAATGAGTTCGTTCAGATTGATAAAATGTATTCCGAAAATTCTAATGTCTATAATACTATACCATCGTATGTTCATGATTAGACAGCAGAAAAATCAAGGTCAGAGTGCCATTTTTTTTTAAATTTCGCACCTAAATCTGCGTGCGTGACGTAACAAATTTCAAAGTGTACTTGTCGCATTTTGCCGACATTGGCTCGACGAAATTTCCGGAAACTTGGTGTGTTAAGTCTCTAACCTCCTGAGCAGACGATGTGCTTCATTTTTACCGATTGAGAGCTACGTGGGCCTTTCGTTAAACGCTGTCAAAATTTACGGCGTCGCGGCATGTGACGTACAAATTTCAACGTGGCGTCGCCACCCGCATTTTCTTTTCGCGACTTTTCTCGCTTTTTCCCGAGTCTTCTCGCGGCGACCGCGGCGGTGTTGGAATTTTTCAAGCGTAATTTACGAATAACAGAAAAATCATTTTCCTCTCTAATGTCCCTTCAAAAACGTGCGGCAAATCCCTGGAACTCCGCTCGTATACTTGGAAGATTCCAAACGTTTTTGCGTCAGTCGATTCGTTAGGGGATAAGGTGCCTTAACAAAGTCATTCGATGATTGAAAGTATAGCAGGGCTATTGTGCAGGCCCTTGTACCGTCACTCTAGATAATTCATCTTTCCAGCAAGTACAACTTTTCTTGTTCTTGAAATAAAGGTGACAGGACAAAACACTAAACATTTTTTACTTGTCTGAAATACACTTCTTGATCGTAATCAAGCGTGCGAAACTGAAATTGCTGTCATGTTTTTCTTTTCTTTTAAGTGACGGGCCTACCTGTATGGGCATCTATTCTATTCATCGGATTGATTTGCACTTTTTATACTGTGCTGGTAAGTTTTCTTGAATTTTCCTCGCAAAGAAAAAAAAAACTGTAACCCGTAAATTTCCGTTATCGTTTCATACTGCGTTTATGCTGCTTTTTTTCCTTCATCCACCTCCATTTACCGCAATGTTGTGTGTTTCTTTAAATGGAATTTAATAAATTAAACCAAAACAAAATCTCAAACTGTGCAAGCGTTAAGGAAACACTGAAGGTAAATGCTTTTCAACGTGAGACAATCGTCGCTTTCTTTCCCCTTTTTTGTGCTTGGCTTTGATGTTGTCGCAGGTAATGGTGAGAAATCGTTTTTTTTTTTTCGAAATACCCGTTTATTCGGGTTGCTTCGAGAACCTCGCTGTGCAGGAATATAAAACTTTTTTTTTTCGAGGAAGGGGGGAGTTGCTTCTGGCTACGACACTGCTGCTGCTGTGGATCAGAACGTCCACGAAGTGAAGTGGCGCTGTATCCCGCCTAATGCGATGTGGAAAATCCACACGTGACCAGTTTGGGCAAGCACGAGCGATTGGATCCTTTGGCTTTTCTTTGTATGAAGCCGAAATTTGAAAGACGAGGTATTTTAAACCTCTTGCCGACTAGGGCTGTCAGGAGTTCGCATTCACAGGGGGACCTATGCTCGAATCCGAAGTTACAATCACTGTATGTACTCGCACAGTGTCAAATTGACGAATGCACCAGAAAAAGAAAATTGATTGAAATTCATCATTAAAATTTACGGCCACTCCGAGGTTTCGCATCGGTGCATGCCTTGCGCCCGTTTTTGTGGCACTGGCATCAGCTTTCGTTTACGATCGGATAATGTCATTGATAACTTTAAAATGGCCTGGGATCGAGCCAGCTGGTACGGTTTCACTACGGGAAATATCGCGAAGACAGAGAAAGAACGAGCGGGACAAGTGGACCCAAACAGAGACACCACTTGTTGATAACGCTGCTCTTGTTTCTGAGCGCTAACGAAGCATAAAAAATAAAATGTTACGTGCAAACAGCGTCGCTTCATTGTCGAGACTCTATCAAACGGCCCTGAGCGGTGTATAAAAGTTGAGTGAAATTGAAGCGGAAATGCATCGCGCCAAATGGTGGTCAAGGCCTTTATTTTGTAATTGCCATTTTATTCCTAATACTGTTTTGTTTTTCTTCTGTCTGAGTGTCGCTCCGATGTGATAATACTTCAACTGGTGGTTGAGAGGGGTTCCGTTGATTCGCCGCGCCGAAAAAAAACAAAGATAATTGAAAAGCGGTGGGGGGGGGGGGGGGGGGGCTACAAGATACTATTTATGTGGCCTTGTTTTATAAAAATCCACATAGCGTGCCTCTACCAACACTTCGGAGGTCTCGTGATATTTTTTGCAACAGTTCGGGTCACCTGCGCACCTTTCGTCCAAGGCCATGTTATCATGAGTGTCGTACGAGTCCTTGGCTTTGACAATATGTGGACTGACACAAAATGCGCCGCTATGTTTAGCGCTCATTCAGAGCATTTTCTCGCCCAGTTATAAGGTGCGTGCCAGCCTCATCTCGTTTTTTTTCTTGTTTTTTTTTTTTGTTGCAGGGTGGCATGAAGGCGGTCGTGTGGACGGACGTATTCCAGATGAGCGTCATGGTTCTGGGACTGGCCTTTGTCGTGGTCCTGGTACGCCTGGAATTCGAATATTACCATTCGTTGCTTCGCTGTTAACTCTTGTCCTCGTCGTGTGGATTACACCTGCCTCTACGTCCTATCGAGACTTCCGTTTGGCTTGGTGATTCGCTGTTCACTTGATGGCAATACTCACGCACAGTTTTATGTATACTCTACTCACAGATTGAAACTAAAGAATTTCGGGGCATGCACTTTCACTTGCGGCGTTTATACAGTTTGTCTCGCGTCTGTATAATTTTGAGTTTGCCGCGATGATGTAGCCGTTACGGTGCCCTGCTGCTGACCGGAAGGTCGCGGGTTCGGTTCCTGCTGCCGTGGAAGGCGACTTTCTATAAAGCCGGAAAACTATATAGGATCGTGTGCTGTTCATTGTCAGTGCACGTTGAAGAACAACAGATCGTCGAAATTTCCGGAGCGTTCCACTATACGGCGTCCCTCTTAATAACACGTATCGTGGTTTCCGTTCGTCAAACGGCCGATACTACATTATCTAGTCTTGACTTGATACCAGAGGCAACATTAGCTGTAGCGGCTGGATTAGGAGCGAGATAACGTAGTTATGTTGAACACTTGCTCACAGTAGTCGTTATACTAAAAAAAACCAAAAAAAAAAAACCGTCGCGTTCTCATTAGTGTGTACTGTGGCCACGTTTTAATATGAATTGCCGAGTAGTTTTGTGTTTGACCTTATAATCATTACCTGACCTGTCTGTACATGATGTTTCCCGCTTGATGTAATGCTTTCCTCGCTTCTAAGTCCAACTTTGGTAACTTCGCGTGTGGTCGGCCGAGCCCGCAGTTGCTACGCAAAACCCTGCTGTTGGCCTCGCGATATATATTTCTGCTCGTGCTCATTTTTTCGCCTGAAGTAGCTGCAAGAATCTTTACAAAAACCATGTTGTCTCTTTATATTTGAAAGTTTTTAGGCCGACAATCGCATGTTTCGATTGGTCATCATATATATATATATATATATATATATATATATATATATATATATATATATATATATATATATATATATATATATATATATATATATATATATATATATATAAAGTTCGAAATCGCTGTTACTGTGATTTCTTTGGGTCAGAAGGTTCTGTATTCGACACAAAGAAAGCACAGCCCACACAAGTACACCTTCGCCAGCAGGAACTTTTTTGTATTTTGGGTCATGTTTGTGTTTTTTGTAGTGCTCTTCAATACTCAATATCCAAATATGCAACCGGCCTAAACCAAAGTTTCATGTTGCTTTATTTGTTTTTTTTTTTTTCATATTTATTAACGGGTAACAGTGTCGGAGGGAACATGTCGTTTGCTGAAGCCTCGCTATATGTAAAATTCTTCATTAATTCTTTATATCATCATCACCAGCAGCACCCTGACTAAGTTCACTGCAGGACAAATTCCTCTCCCATGTTCCGCCAGTCAACTCGCTCCTGTGCTTGCTGATGCCACTTTACGCCCTCAAATTTCCTAATTTGATCTGCACACCCAACTTTCGGTCTCATCCTACCCCGCTTGCCTTGTCTGGAAATCCAGTCAGTTACCCTTAATGACCAGCGGTTATCCTGTATCCGCGCTAGATGTCCGACCCATGTCCATTTTCTTCTTGATTTCAGCTATGATACCCGTTGTAAATGTATGTTGTGCGTTGCTTGGGTGTTCTATCGCAGGGCGTTATGAAGGTCGGAAGCCCAGAGAAGGTGTGGACGACAGCCAAGGAAGGCGGCCGCATACAATTTTTAAAGTAAGTGCGCGCATTTTTTTTTTTTGCGGCATGTTCAGTACACGTAAAATGTATGTAGCAGCTCGATTTTAACGCTTTAGAGCTTCCTTCCGTAAGCTGCTGCATCATAGACACAGCGTACCGTTAATATCTGAGCGTCGAATTACAGATGGAAACACGGTAAAATGCTGGCCGCTGAGAGCAGCACATTGGAGGCATTTGTCCCGTGATGGTACTTGGAGCGCTAAGCTATTTCAAGCGGTAGATGAGCGTCCGTCTGTAGTGGCTTCCTTGAAATGATAAATGCGACACTTTATGCGTAACCGCAGTTGGCACCAACACTTCTAGCCGACCTATTGCGTTCTCTGCTATCTGCAGCGGGGAGCGTTTGGCTGATATGAATTTCATGAGGACATTACACTCAAATAATGAATCGCTTTAGATTGATCAAGTGTGCTTTCAGAACTTGGGTGTCGTTAATTTCGCCATCATAGGTTTATTAATGTAAGAAAAAAGTGTAGTTACAAGTCTCGTTTTTAAACGTCGCGCCGAAATTTCCGCAAGTGACGTCACGTATTTCGGAGTGGATTTTTTCATATTTTGTTGACGTAGGCCCAACGAAGACCCGCCAGGGTCGTCTAGTGGTCATGGTGCTCGACTGCAGACCCGTAGGTCGCGGGTTCGAATCCCGGCTGCGTCTGCCGCATTTTCGAGGGAGGCGAAAATAGGCCCGTGTGCCGAGATTTAGGGGCACGTTAAAGAACTCCAAGTGGTGAAAACTTCCGGAGCTCTCCACTACGGTGTTCCTCATAATTACATCGTGGTTCTCGAACGTTAAACCCCAACACTTAATTATTGTATGCATGCAGTGAAGAAGTCCCGCAGAGCTCCGCAGCCGTGTCGTCAGGTCTACGCAGGAGTGGCTCGCGCTAGCCGTTATTGCTGTTCGTGCTAGCCAGGCCTGCGATCGTAATCCTGTCTGGTATTACAGTATCTTCTGCCGAGAACGTGCCTCAGATCTCTATTAAATATCAAGTTTCTGTAGGGCAGGGTTGCTCATACCGTACTCGATGCAGGCAGAGCACGGCAAAGCCGGTGCCAGTGACAGCGTTTCCTTTGAAGAATACTGTACCTTTGCGTAGGAATACAGTTGCCAGATATATGCCTGCAGCTGTAAGAGGTGATGTCTATTTTCAGATTAAACACCATACCATAAAGTGACGTAGAATTAGAAATTTTTGGATTATGACCATTCGGGAGCTGCAGATACTATAGATAAAAATATGTACACGGTGAACCACATTTAGGGGAAACACCTCATTAATATTCAACCTGGTATGACTACACCGTTCGTTCTTCGTCAAAAGGGAAATGAAATATTCTTTGTATAAAGGAAACGGAATGGAGGAAAGGTGATTTATTGACACCTAAACCCTAAATGTGTGTTTCCCCTGCATGTGGCCTTGGACTCTGTGTATACCTTATAGATTGTTTTTAGCACAAGCGTTGGACTTAAGGGGCGTCGTTGATGAAGATGTTAGAGAGAGGGCTTTGTATAAACTTGTTTGTGTATATGGTGTGTAGGTATTCTTCGAGTTTGCACTGTTTTGTTGTTCCATGCAGTACGCAGGTGGACACCCAGTCGTCGGTGTCGCTGTGGAACGTGCTGCTTGGGACCACGTTTATCTGGCTCGCCTCCTACGGCACCAGTCAGACGCAGGTGCAGCGCTTCTGTAGCGTATCCACGCTCAGAGAAGCCAAGACGTGAGTGCGGTTTACATGCAGTGTGCGCAGTCTATAGACTGCACGCATAATTTAGTTATGCTGCTATTGTTTAAAAGAGGAACTATGGCACGAAAAACTGCGGTTTTTTTTTCAAAGGTCAGATGGATGCCTAGACCCTCACATGAACATTTATTTGCTCTAAAGCTGTATGAATGGGCCAGATGCACTGCCATGATGACTAGTTGCCTCATTGATAAATGGATCGTACTCCGTTCAAAATGCGCAGTCCCTCTTTTATGGATGTAGGAAAAATAATGATGACGGTGTACGTTTTGTGTTCGCATTTTATACTAGTAGATCCAAATTACATGTTAGAAAAAGCCTTATGAGGTATGTTTCCGGTCGCTCGATTTTCGCAGCCCGTGAAATGTATAGCGGCCATTTACGTCATGCGACCCACATGTTCAGCATTTAGCGTGCATTCTACCAGTTTCTGTTCATGTCGATCAACAAGGCAGTAATAGTGGTGAACAGGTACGGAACATCCTGTTCAGCGGCACTGCGTGTGCCATCGGCACCTGGGTGAACGTCGGGGATACCATCGAGGAACCGTTTACGCGCACGCACCACAGCCAATTCGCCAAACGTTTATTATTACACTTTACGGTCCGCGAATTTCGTCGTCCAATGTCTAAGATTAATCGTCGGCCTTGTCATTTGCAGTGTTGTTTGCTTGGAAGAAAATTGTCATCTCGGTCGCGTGCTGTACAGCTCGCTCACCATGGGTCGTGTACTATATATGTGTAATGAGGAGGCAAGAAAAAGAAAGAAAAAAGAGGCCGATTTCTGATGATGAAAGTTCAGAAAATTAAAATTGGTCAAGACTGCGCTTGTACCTTGTATTCTGTACACCCCAACCTCACAATATCATACGCGCCGCTGTGCCTCAGTTACTCCTTTGGAGTTGTGTACCCGTGCACGTGGTAGTGGCTGTGATTACTATTATTATTACGATATTAATTATATGGACAGTCTCGGTCGCTTGTTTGCCGTCGCCGACGTCATTCACGTATATATATATATATATATATATATATATATATATATATATATATCCTCTTTCTGTGGAGGGGACTCGCTCGCTGGATTTCGTGCCGACCGGTTGTGCGCCCGCGCGCTCCGCGCGCTTGCGACCTTCGGCGTCACGTAGCTCTGGCCGACTGGGCTCACCCTACGTCACCTCCTGCCGCCGACGGCTTTCGACGACAGTGAAGCTCTGACTTACTGGACCTGCTCTACGCCATCTACAGACGCCGACAACATCTCTCGCAAGTGTACCCCGTCCTCGGACTCCAGTGACCGTGCTTCCATCTTTCCTGTCTCTCCTATCCCCTCAGTTTGTTGTTGCTTCTTCTTCCTCTTTTCTATACCTTTACTTCTACCCTTTTTATCCCTCCTCACCCCCATCCCTTGTGAGCTCTGTGGCGGTGTCGCTCACTGAAGCAGACAATAACGGGGCTCACTTTTCTCTTCCTTTCTCTTTATTAAGAACCACTCATTTCTGTGGAGCGAACATCGCCTTTCTGGCCGGGCTAGTCAGCGCGCGCGCTTATCTCGCCAGCGACCAAGGGAGACAAAGATGGGGGGGGGGGGCGCTTATGATTGCCGCACTATCGCGGAAACGATCAGCGCGCGCCTTGTGCCCCTACAGCAGCTTTTACGGGCTGCGCTCTCAACACGAAAAAAAAAAAATGTGCCAAAAGTATACATGGAGTGGCCGTGTTCCTTTGCACGAGCATTTTGTAGAGTTACGTGAGATCGAATCTAAATGAGTTGACTGCCAGCCTAGCCTCACTTCGTATATCAACGCCGTCACTACGCACGAGTCTTGTTGTGGTCATCTATTGTGGCCGCGCCGCACCAAACTTGGGTACTAGCAAGCGCATGCTTACTACAGTCAATATTGCTCCTAAAAGTGCTAGCTTTACTTTTCGAATATGTTGCTCTCGCATTCATTGCTTGGACCTTCTGGCGACACTGACTATTATTATTATTATTATTATTATTATTATTATTATTATTATTATTATTATTATTATTATTATTATTATTATTAGTAGTAGTAGTAGTAGTAGTAGTAGTAGTAGTAGTAGTAGTAGTAGTAGTAGTAGCAGTAGTAGTAGTAGTAGTAGTAGTAATAGCAGCAGTAGTCATAAACATCAGCCTGACTACGCCTTTTACGATTACGAGCCAATCAACCCCGGTATTGTGCTTTCAGCTGCTACGTTATACCTGCGAACCTCTTAGTCTCATCGATCCACCTAACTTTCTGTCTCCCCCTCGTGCGCTTGCCTTCTTTTCAATCCAGTCCATTACCCTTAACGACCAGCGGTTATCCTGCCTACGTGCTACGTGCCGGGCCCATGTTCATATCTTCTGCTTCATTTAAAGTATGATATCCTTAACCCCGGTTTGTTCCCTAATCCACTCTGCCCTCTTCTTGTCTCTTAAAGTTACACCTATTATTTTATTTTCCATCGCTCGCCGCGTCGTCCTCTATTTAAGCTGAACCCGCTTTGTAATCCTCCAGTTTTCTGCTCCATAGGTAAGTACCGCCTAGATGCAGCCATTATGCACCTTCCTTTTGAGGGATGGCGGTGCATTATATTCATGATTCGAGAATGCTTGCCCAATGTGATCGACCCCTACCTTATTCTACTAGTTATTTCACTCTCATAGTTCGGCTCCGTGGTTACTACTTGTCCTAAGTAGACATTTCACTTTACAATTTTCAACGTCTTTCCACCTATCGCAAAGCGCTGTTTGCTGCCGAGACTGTTGCGCATTACGTTATTTTTGTGCATATTTATTTTCTGACCTACTTTCCGGCTTTCCGTGTCCAGTTCTGTAATTATGAGCTGTAATTCGTCTTCTCAGTTACTCATCTAGGCAATGTCATCAGCGAATCGAAGGTTACTAAGATACTCTCCATTAACTGTTATCCCTAACTTTTCCCAATCTAGGGCCCTGAAAACCTCCTGTGAACACGCAGTGAATAGCATTAGAAAGATCATGTCTCCCGGCCTTACACCCTTTTTTATTGCGATTCGGTGGCTTATTATGGGGAACTATGGTGGCTGTGGATCCACTGTATATTTCTTCCAGTATATTTATGTAGGGTTCTTTGATGTCCTGATTCCGCAGTGCCTGCATTACTGCTAATGTCTCGATTGAGTCAAACGCCTTCTCGTAATCTATAAAAGATACAGGGGATGGCTGTATTCCGCGTATTTCGCTATCACCTTATTGATGGCATGAATATGGCCTATTGTGGAGTAGGCTGTACGAAATTCTGCTTGGCCCTTTGGTTTATTGAACTCTTGTGTCGCCTTAATTCTACTATCTACTATTTTTGAAAATAGTTTGTAGAGAACCGACAGTAAGCTGATCGGCCTGTAATTTTTCAAATCCTTGGCGTCTCCTGTCTCATGAATTAAGGTGATGTTGGCGTCCTTCCGAGATTCTGCTATACCCTGCCTGTCAAGAGACATTTCGTATATAAAGTGGACAGTGTTTCTAACACAAGTTCTCCACCATCTTTGAGCAGGTCTGTTGTTACCTTATCCTCACCAGCGGCTTTGCCTTTTGCATTCCTTCTAGGTATTTCATCACTTCCCCTTTTTTTACTGGTAAGATGTCGAATTCCTTTGGGCTAATATTGCTTCTTACGATATTATGCTGATTGTTTCGGCTCCTGTACATCTCTCTGTAGAATTCCTCCGCCACCACAACTATCTTATGCATATTGGTTATCACATTGCCTTCCTTGTCCTTTAATGCATACTTCCGAATTTTACCATGCACATGTTTGCTTTGGCAGCTTTTAGGCTTCGGCCGATTTCTACAGCCTGCTCAAATGTTTCCATGTTATATCTTCTGATGTCGGCTGCCTTACGCCTATTGATCAACTTCGAAAGCTCCACTAGCTCTATTTGGTCGGTTGCAAGTGAGGCTTTCATAGTTTGTCGTCTCTTAATGAGGTTTTTCGTCTCCTGAGATAGTTTGCCAGTGTCCTATCTAGCGACTGTACCTCCAACTTCAAGTGCACACGCTTTAATGATACTAGTAAGATTATCACTCAATGTGTCAACGCTAACGTCAGTTACCTAGTTTAGTGCCTCGAGTCCATTCTGAAGCGAAACTCTGAATTCCTGTACTTTTGCTCTCACCGCTAGTTCATTAATTGGCTTCTTCCGTATCAGTTTTTGTCTGTGCTTTTTTTTAAATCTTAGTGAATACGAGCTCTTATCTTTCTATAGTCACTGCATCTAATCTTACCATCTGGTTATACATCCTGTACAATGCCTGGATGTGCACATGTAAAGAACGAAGCATATTTCGTTATTATTCACGCAAATATGACTTTGCCATGTCCACTTTTCGGTTAGCCTGTTTTCTTTGAAGATATTCAAGATTCGTAAATTATTGCGTTTTCATGGCCTCTACTAATAACTCCCCCTCTGGCATTTCTAGAGCCGATGCCATATTTTTCTCTCTGCATGGTCTCCGGCCTGTTTCTTGCCTACTTTGGCATTTAAGTTGCTCATCGGTATAGTATACTGTGTCTTTATTAATCGCTGACTCTACGTCTTCCTAGAAGCACTCAATCAAATGATCATCATGGCTTGATGTAGGTGCGTAGGTCTTACCACCTTCATTTCGTACTTTTTCTTTAACTTAATCACGATACTTGCCTTCCTCTCACTAATGCTATAGTATTCCTCTGTGTTGCCAGTGATATGCTGGTCTATAATAAACCCCATGCCTAGTTTTCTATTCTGTCAAATCTTAGGTGGAATATATAGGACATGTCCGTTCTTCAGCTCTGTATAAGTCTCACGGGTCCTCCTAACTTCGCTGATCCCTATTACATCCAATTTAACACCCTCTAATTACTCGAATAGCACAGCTAGAGTATAGCCCTACTATACAGTGTTACAGGGTTCTAGCGTTAAACGTACCAAGTTCAGGTTCCTATG